AAATATCTTCCTGATCTCAAAAACGATTTTTGGTGCAGTACTTGAGCAGCGGTCACTTTCACGCCTGAATGGTTGTGCCAGCATGCAGGTAAACAATATAGAACAATGTCCTCTGCTGCTTCTAGCTTACTTTTTCTTGGTTGTTACTTTTCAGTAGACTGGTAATTGTGTCTCAATTCTTTTACTTTAGCACACATTTCTATTTATCAACTATAATGCGAGGCGAGCCTCAATACCGAACGCAATCCTTATCGGTGAGAGCAGGGTGGGTCTTTTGACGTAATAGTTCTGAACACCCCTAGGCGCAGATGCATCAAGGTGGCGGCGCAGGGGGAGGGTGCACTTCACAGCACCTCTATGTTCCTTCCCTAACGGTTGGGCTCAGAGTGCAGGCGGCCAGTTGGTGACTACTGTGGCAGAGCAGACAGTGTCTACGCGACTCTGGCCCCCTGCGCTTTTGGTGCTTCCGTTAAAGACAAGTTCTACACTCAACTCTGGAGATTCTACACTCAACTCTGCAAAAAGGGGTGGCGATGACGAACCTCGGGAGGTGCTACTCTATAGCACCCTGTGTTGAAGACAAGCTGTGCGCTCAATTTCGAGAAAGGTCCTTTCCAGGTGTGAGGTGAATGGATCTGCAGCGCAGTAACTTGCCGCTTCCTTCGCTCAAAAGTGCACGGGAACGGGACAAAGCGTAATGATACCCGTGTACAGTGTTCACACATCACCGGCGCTACAGCGCAGCCAAGCTTTTCGCCTAACCGTAGCCAACCGCGCCAGTTGCCAGCGCCCTCTCACTGTCTCGTTGTTGACTCTTGCTGAGCAGTCCATTCCTTTCCACTACAAAAAAAGAGATGCCACAGCTGCAGTTTAGGGTTGCCAACTTCTTTACTGTTCTTGTATTCACACTGGAAGGCAGAAATGGAACCGGAGGCGGTAGTGGATCCGCCTGATTTTCACGTCTCAATAAGCTGGCACCTTACGTAGATATCAGGGATCCCGCAGCGACACAACACGCACTCATCAAGGGTGCAACCAGACGCAGGAGCAGTGCAGGAGGGCGCTGGGACTGGCGCCGGGAGGCGCACGGTTAGGTCGAGGAAAAAGTGTGGCTGGGGCGTTGTAGGCGCGAGAGTGTGATACGCTGTAGCACGGGTGTATCCAGTACTCGCTTCGGGTCCCGCGTTCCCTGAGGCACTTTTGAGGCGAAGGGAGAGCGGCAACGATAGACTGGCAGGCTGCGGAAAAATCGCCGGTTGGAGGGGACTCGAAATTTTCGCGCCGATATTGAGTGCGAGCAGCTTATTTTCAACAAAGGCAGCTTAGTAGTAAGGTGAGGCTGCAAGATTGCGTTCAACCGGCGAAGTCATTTTTAAAAGATGGTTTGCTCAGCCCACTCGGAGGCTTCTTTACAACTTACTGCGAGTGCTAAGATCCTATCATCCTTGCACGCCACCTTGCCGTTTAATCTAAATCAGCTTCGTTTGCTGGTGCCTCACATAGGGAATAGCGCCAAAAAGTATAAAATGGTAAAATAAATAATACTAGTACAATATAATGATAAATTAATGTTAAGTATCTGCATAATGCTTACGGGGTCGCTGAGTCGCAGTTGCTAAGACGGACGCTCGGTCGAGCGCCTTCATCCTTCAGCTCGATTAGCACCTGAAACGAGGATTTCATCAATAAAAATATCTTTTAACATCGATTTGTTCTTTTTGGGGTTTGCAGAGACCCTGTCAAAACCGTCCTTGTTCCCTCTGACAGAATAAAACGGGGGTAATTCAGTGCTGCAATATTGAGAAATCGCGGGGCGGAGTGGGGCAAACTCAGTTATCACTCACCCTCCGTGAGATCGCTAATCTGGGTCGTGTGGGGCCAGGTGAGCAAAGACTAAGCACGGCGAGAGAAATGCTGATCGGCACCTACTGACGCCTTTGTTCGACACCTTTGTTCATTCAGCATTTCATCCAAGCAAGACTCTTGCGAACGTTCAGCAAGAGGTCACTGAGCGACGTTGCATACCCTCAAGCCTCCGTAGCCAAAATTTCAAGCGTCATCCCTACTACTGTCCCGATGTCTCATGCAGACGCATACCATGGCATCGTTTTAGCATTTTCATCGGTTCTTGCTGTCGCTGAATGTCCACGATCGCTTGCCTGCCTAAGTCTACGTTCATACTTTGCTGTAGCGTCCACCAGAGTCCGAGCTTTCGGCAGCGTCAGCGACTAGGAACACTACGGACATGCGATCTTAGCTCTACAGTCAGCTGTCTGCTACCCTTCTATCGCTCCATACCCTCTACCAGCAGTCTGCTACTCTCCTATGTCCCCATACTCTACCAATTGACTGCTACCCTCCTATAGCGCCATACCCTCCTCTTCCGGACGTTGGTAGACGCCGGTGCACGCGCGCAGACGCTAGATCGAGACCTATACCTCCCTAGCCCTAGGGACGCTGGCAACGCTGGCAGACACTGGATCACTCGGCAGACGCTAGATTGATATTTATACTTTCCTAGTCGCTGTCGCTGCCGGACACTCGGAACGCCGGTGGACGGTGCCGTAAAGTAAGAACGCAGCGTAAAAGGTAGGCATAGTCGCATTTTGACGCCCGCTCCACACCTGACTATTGCGATTCAATTTTGCAAGACAGAATGGGAATAGTAGGTTGCTATAACATCAGATGATTCCCTCTAGAGGGTTTTTTTAGGATTCTTCCGCGAAGCGCCTACAGCTCATTCTCTGCAAACAATGGACCCTATTACAAGCCCCGCCCCCAGATAACTCCGCCCCTTTTTGTCGCGACACAATCTACATACACACTATGAGAAAGCTTCCAGCTCGCCAACCCATATCAAATGCGGAAGACTCTCAGCTTGTTTTGTCACGGCCTAGACAAAACTATACCCAATCTTCTTCTGAAAAGAACCTACCGTATATGTGTCAAATCCAGGCCTATCAGGAGGTCTCGCGCGAAGTCGCATAGAACCACTGCGTGGACTGTTTTCGGTCTGAGTGTCACCGGAAATCGTCTCCTGAAAAGCCAAAGGACTATTTTTTGATTGTCACCAAAAGTTCTAGAACATACATCGTTGGCTGGGATGGGGCTGAGCGGTGGACTGGTGTTTTTTCGTTTTGTTGTGTGGAAGGATGAAGACAGCGACGTGTCGTCGACGTTCATCACCTGAGCCTAAACGATCCAAGGATTAGGGCCAAGAGGAATGTGAGGTGCGCATAGAGTACTCGAAACCTCGGAGCTGTCCTCGGATGACGAATGCGATCGAGTACTGCATATCTTTAACCAATTGATGCGACTCCGTGGTCGATTTGAGCTGGAATGATTCCTACATCAGGATTTTGATTAACCAAAACCAGTTCAAATCCAAGGTTTCTCAACAGAGACAGGCTAGAAGATAGTATCGTGAGCGAAAGCCCTGTGACTTGAGAATCAGAGTCAATTTCGGATCCACCTACGGCACACTCATTACCTCGATATCTTTCAGAAACGGTGACATTCAGCATTCTGGACTTATTGTAGTTGTCGCTCCCAGAAGGCTCTACTAGCATTTTATTTCATTGCATCTAACCGGGAAAGCTCCCCAGTTTGAAGGGGCAACTTGTGATGGGACCTACATAAAGGGGCACGTTCTCTTATTCTGATCTCGAGTAAGCTTACCTGAAGCTGTAAACTCAGCCCCGAGGGTGGTCCTAACAATGTGTGAAGTGAATGGGCTCGCAGCTGCGGTGGTGTGCCAGTTTCTAGGGTAGTGATACCCAAAAGCCGTCTCCACACACTGCTCGAGCTATCCTCAAGGTGCAAAACTTGCGTCGATACCAAGGTCCGCAGCGATATACGCACCCAGCGGTAAGAAAACAGCCAGAACTGAGAGAGCGTAGACAACTAGCGCGTTTAGCTATAGTTAGGCGTGTGGCTGGTTGTGCGGCAGCGCGGGCGAAGTATCGAGACGGCACCCGGGCATTACTACCCTCCATCCCCGTTCCTGGGCACTTTTGAGCGGCAAAGGGGCATGTACTGCGGGCGGGGATGCGGAAATATTCTCCTGACATATGGCGAGGGCCACAACCCACGAGGTTGAGCGTGCAGTAAGTCGCTGAGGTACACTCGAGATCCCTGAGATCGGGTAGGCGTGGCCGCATGTTTCAACTTATCCTTAAGGCGTTTACGCTTCTGATGCGATATTTTCACCTCGACACAATCGTTGTCGTGTCTCTGTCCAACACAGAAT